AGCAGGTATACTTACGTATTCAGTCAACTTTTTGGCCGTTTTACTCTTCTGTTAAAATTGTTCAAGCCACTCCTGTCGTTTTTCGTCAAATGTCAGTGGTCTGTTATATCTGCCTGTTTCATAACGCATACGTACGGGAAGCTCTGTGAGGCAAGGACTTTAATTTTATGGAGTTTAGCAAAACAAAGTGATGATCCTTGAGCACAGCTGTGAAACAAACAGCAGTACTGAGTTTCGGAAACAAATTTGTGTATATGGAATTGTATGGGTAAGTAAAGGATATCTATGGATCAAGTAAACTTTACCTCTTTTTAAAAGCCAAACATTTAAGAGACTAAATCCCTTTACAGGGGGGAAAAAAGTCTCTAAAACATAAGACAAGCAATGGCGTATAATAGCTAATATACCTAAATAGTTCATTTAAAAAGGGAGAACATAGAAATAAAGGAGACACGCAGGACAAGTCTTGTGACTTCTGTGGTAGATAAGTGGAACAGATTAGTTGATTAATAACAAACAGCTCAGCTAGTTTCTTAGTTATATATATTAATAGTATCCCTGTTGACTTTAAAGTTATATTCAGAATATACGTATGATTCAGATGTGTATTTTTAACTGACTCATTGGATAGGATTTTACACGCTCTTTTATCTGTAGGGAGGGTAAGCATGGGTAAAGGAAGATGAATATAAAAAAATTACAATGATTACAGATAGGGCCATCTTAAGCATACAGTATGAAATCTATAAACTTTGTTCGTTGCTAATGATACAGAGAGTTGCTTCCTTTTTTTTAACAAGTTTTCTCAAGCTCTATATTATTCCCCCGTGCATTTTGCAAATAAACAAAATGGAGCAATGTTGAGAATACTGTAAATGTGATCGTTTGTTCTCTGAAGAGTCAGTTCTGCAACATTTTGGGGATTTGTTTAACAACTGATGGAATTTTCATGGAGACTGTAAAAAAAAATCACAAATAGGTATTTTGATGAGAGAAACGTTAACTGTGTTAAATCCATCTAGTAAAATATATGTCAAAATGTAACTTTATCATCAACTTTTTCCAATATATTTCAGTATTTCCTCATTTTAGTTTCAGTGATAGGAAGATTAACAAGTGTTATGCTATAACGTTCACATTAAAACCTTTGGAGATTCTTAATAGTCTCATGGCAGAGAATAGAGTTATGGGTGAACGGAATTCTCCAGGTCCAAGTTCCAGACAACCGTCCCTTAAATCTTCCTGTTATGCCATTATCAACAGTCGGAGACAAAACAGATCTTTTGGAGTTTCGGTTCTGCTACTTTGGGGTGGATAAAGGATTACAGTTCATCTTTCTTGTCTCTTCCAAAAGGGCTGAGTGATAGTGCTTGTGAAGCTCAGTGTCTTCTGCTGTTTCAAAGATAAAGCTGGGATATTAACCAAGGTCTCCTAAATATCAGTACACTGCCATATTTTTTCCTTTGCGTCCTGATATAGAAGAGCAAGAAGAGATCTGTTTGCTTTGGGCCAGTCTGGGGAATGACTAGTCAACTAAAGGACTTGATTTTTGTTCTTGACTACAAGCTTATGTAATGCCATGGTAGTATATGGTAATAGGAGTTATTTATAGTATTAACAGCCTCTTTGTTTTAAGAGGAGAAATATAGGGGTGAGGTTATTTATAGGCCTTCAGTTTGTGTATGTATGTATATATATTCATGCTGCCAGGAGATGAGATTGCAGTTTTTAAGGTGTAATACTTTTTTTTTCATAAGTTTTTGTAGAGAATAATAGAGAATAATGGAAAATACTAGTAGTTATACTGCTGTGCTCAGACTTGTTCTTATTCATATTGGTATCTTACAAAAATTGTACCTTTGAGACATTATTCAGTTTGCATCTCTGAAGTAGACCTGAAACTTATGTTGGGTGAATCTAACTCAAATACAGGATAATAAAGTACTCTAATCAACACAGTTGATGAGAAAGATGTGTATGTTTGCTTGCTGATAATGTGAGTAAATTTTACTGAGATTTCTGTTGAAAATTAACATGTACCAGAACTCAGAGGGAATTGCCCAGACTTCCATAATTGATCAGAATTTAAAATGTATGTTTTGCTGTGAGCTTTGGAAATGTCTGTGCCACTAAATTTATCAATGCTGCACAGATACTTTTTCAACATGTTCCAGCATGAACCATCCAAAGTACAGCTGTCAGAATAAATATATGTGCTTCGT